TTCATTCTATGGATCAATAATAATCGCAAATAAACTTACTTTTTATGAGCATTCTAAAAATGGCATCTTTTTTTTTTTTTAATTAAAAGAGGCCTATTTTCCATACAAAGTAAAGCACTTATTGTGTTAGGCAAATTGAGTTTGAAGGCTGCTTACTGAATGAGAGTAGTACAAATATTAAATGTAATTTACAAGCACAGGAAACAGAATGCTTACCTGGAAACAGTCCAACAAGTCATTGGAAATACAATGCATTATTTACAAAAATAGAAAACAACCAGTGATTACACGGCTGGTCATCTGTGTTATCGATGGCAGTGAGAGAGTGTAGTGGAGGAATTCAGAAAAATACTAAGCATCATGAAAATTATGCAATTTGCATGCGTTAAGTCAGCTGATAAGGGTATAGAGCATCTCTAGTGCATTCGCAAGCACCTTATTATTAAAGTGTCAAACCTCTTTGAGGATTCTTCGGTAGTTTGCTATTCTAATTCTGGTTCATTCATTAGTTTCCAAAGCATTCCCAAGATTCTTCTTTAGTGAAGTTCTCAGTGAATCAAGCCGAGAGCAGCTCACACTATTTTCATTAACTTAAGCAAGTATGAGTTATCTTTAGACATAAATTGTAAAAGAGAACCGCCCAGTGGATATGTTCACAATGTAAACTTGTTCAAATATTTCGGTAGTCCTGGGGCTGGCCTTGGTGCCTAGTGGGTACAAACTGCTGCCTGTGACACGGCATTCCTATCTCAGCTGCTCCACTTCAGATCAAGCTCCTTGCTAATGGTGTGGAGAAGCATCAGAAGATGGCCCCCGTGCTTGGAACCCTGCCCCCAAAGGGGGAGACCCAGAGCTGGGTCCTGCGTCCTGGCCTTGGCCTGGCCCAGCAGTGACTGTTCTGGTCATCTGAGGCATGAACCAGCAGATGGAAGATCTCTCTCTCTCTCTCTGTCTTCCCTTTTCTCTGTGTAACTCTGACTTTCAAAAATAAATAAATCTTAAAAGTCATTATTAGTTTAGGAGACGATGATCAAAATGTGTGAAAGGCAGTGTCACTGCTGAATGGATTTGTATGTGCTCTTGGATTATCAGTATCAGTTTTTGTATGTAGGTGAAATGGTTTGTTTTTAGTCATTGAGAGATAAGAAGATACTTACTAAGGGAATTAAAAAGTCTTGCATTCCACTGTCAAGAAGAACATTCATATATTTTTATATCTTTAATGCGATTATTGCAGGCAGATTTATTTCAGGTGAAAATCTTCCTTTGTACAACATATTTTAATGTATTGGGATTATGAATTAGGTATTTTATATGAATTCATCCAGCTCATATCCTCTATTAATTACAAAATTCATCACTGAGATTGCAGAAACATCAATGATTTACTAATTTATCTCTGCATAACTTAATATTTTAGAAAAATCAATACATTTGTACTTAGTATATATAATTCTGTAAAAATAACCTTCTTGTATTCCTAAATAGTCACTAGTTTTAGGCACATAGAAATCATTCAATACAAAGAAAACCTTCAGACTGACATTCAACTACGTTGGTTATACCAGTAAAGAAACCTACCAAATGGTTGCTATTGATACTGTGTTATGAGCCCAGGAAACTCCCCAGGGAGTCCTTACATGTGCTCAGGATCCACATCTACATGCAATCCAAAGAGAGAAACCATAGATTATCCGGGACAGCTGATCACCCTGTGGTCACATAACGTGATTCACGGCTGGGAACCTGGTAACCATGAGTCACCAGGGGCTCTGCAAAGGCTAAATGATGTGCAGCCCAACCTGGCACAGAAAGAGCAGGTTATGTTGAACTAGGAAAAGAATCTAATCCAGAGAGAGCCCATTGCAGCTGGGTACAAGCTAACCAAGAAAGGAGGGAGCTGCTGTTACATTGTTCATTGGTGATGAGGTTGAGAAACCTCACACCTTGTTTCCACAGTTTGAACCGCTTCCAAGACCATTTAGTCCCTTAGAGAGAGAGAGAGAGAGAGAGAGAGAGAGAGAGAGAGAGAGAGAGAGAGAGAGAGACTCCTCTTCCTCTGGCTTTGCCTTCCTCCATCAACTATCTCCTTCCTTAATGTTGCAGTTTTTCCAGATAAGAATCCCTGGCATTTGCCTACAGGGAGCATTCGTGATGGTGTTGGTGGTGATGGCAGTGGCAGCCTTTCTGGGTACCTGGGAGATGACAATTTTGAAGCAGCAGCAGGAAGGTCCAGATGCTCTTTAGAAGGGCTGGTAGAGAATGTTTATGGAATGTAGAGAAAATCAGGGTGAACTAGAGAAAGTACGAGTGAGGGAAGGAGGAAGCAAGGAGAAAGGAAGGCCAGTTTGGTAGGTCATATTGCTTGCCTGGCAGCCCTACGCCACAAGCCAGGGAAGAAAGCTGCGTAAGAAGAAAATGAAAGATCTGCCTGAAGGAAGCTGGGCCAGTGCTCCCAGAGCCTTCAAGGCTTAGAAAGCTGCACTCCCTTCGCCCACAGCACCACTGCAGGTCAAATCACTCAAGCATTCTCCCTGCAGCCCTGCAGCCCCCTCCTCCACTGCTCTGCAAGTGATGCCAGCTGGATAATTTCCATGAAGGCTAATACTGCCATCTCTGATGTGCCTTCTGCCTTCTAGGAGCCAGAGGAGAGCTGGCAATGCCCACTGCGTGTTTACACTGCAGCCTCCTCACGCTACTCCATCCTCGTCTCTGCAGCTGCAGCTGGTACAAACCCTAAAGGCTTCTGGGGCAGAGACCAGGAGAGGAGTGGCAATGGGCCCTGGCATTTCTCAGACAACAACTACAGATTCTGTTTAGTTTGCTAGTCCTCCCTAAACCTCCAAGGATTCCAAAGAAATTGACTGAGATGCAGCAAGACCAGATTACACAGACAAGGAGATGGGTGTACTGGAGGTGACGGGCGACAAAAGACAGAGACCACACAAGGAAAAGAGAGATGACAGAAGAGACATTTGGAGACTGTCCCGAAAGATGTGCTGAGGAGCAGACACTGAAATGAAGGTGGCAGCAACGCTGACAACTGCAGAGAGGAGCATGTTTCCACTCAACATGATTGTTTGTCCCGTAGGCTAGAAGATGGCTCGCTCTTCTTCAGCGTTATGATCGAGGACTTCACTTTCCTTGTCTGAAATATGAGGCATTTGGACTAGACACCTTACAAGATCTCTGCCTGATTTGACTTTCTAGGTAACTGGCAGCCTATGAATGCTGCAATCCAGGACCAAATAGGAATGCAGCTCCACATAAGAGTGCCCCCACCTTCTCTGTACCACTCAGATATCTGGGTAACACCTGCAGCCTGATGACAAGGATGTAACTCAGCTGTGACAAACTGTTGGCCCTTCTACCCTAGAATGAGGACGGACGGGAGAAGGCAGTTCTGGGTTAGACTTTGAATTTCCAAGGAGAAGCTGTTCGCTATATTTCCAATTTCATGTGTCATTTTAAAAAAACAAATTACAATTTCCCTGGGGGGATATGTTTCAAATAGTTGGCCTGATCAAAGAACTTGAAAATGATTACTCCTTGCCCTGCCCTCATGTGGGGAAATATTTCTTCCATTTTCTCCCAGACACTGGATCTGCTTTTTCACCCAGGTCCAGCATACACCAGCCACATACCTTCTTGTCTGCCTACCTCATGCCATTCTGCCAGCCTGCCTCGCGGCAGTTTTCTCGGAGGTTACTCACGCAGAGCTTAGTGAGTGTGCACTCATGACTAAAGTGTTCAGTGGTGCAGACCTTTCCCCACCCCCTCCGACACCCACGCACAATCAAGTGTAGGCAGTTTCAATGAGAGTAGGGGCAAAAATGTGTTTCCACACGAGCCTCATTTTTAAATTCGTCTCTGCCTGAGATTCCTTTAACATTAACAAATTAATATGTAGAAATAGGAGAACTCGCCCCCTCCTCCCTTGCCTGCAAGGAGGAAGTGATAGGCAGATAGCGGAGACTTTGGCGTTGTCTACACCCAGCTGCATTTCCACTTCGTGTCAGTCTCCACAGTGTGGACAAGAGGGCAACTCTAGAAAAATGGATTCCCACCCTGGCGTCTCACAGGGCACTGATGCGTGCAGAACCGAGCTCTGGGAGGCAGCTTCGCCCCTTCCCCACACACGTTCCCACGCCCCCGAGGGTATTCAGCCATCTCATTTCCACTTGAGCTTTGACCTTGTAGAGATCCTTCTGCCAGTGTCTGGTCAAGAACAACCCATTTCCCGCTCCAACACGAAACGACCTTTTCTCCTTTGAAGAAACACCAGAGAGTGTAACACATCTGGGTGTCCGCCTTTCAGCCCCGCATTCCAGCAGGCAGGTAGCGAGCGCAGACCCGAGAACAGAACGTGATTAAGACCTACGGTGCGGCAGAGCATCTTCTCTGCCCACTCACCATTGTGGTGAAAAATCAAAGCGGAAAACAGCCCAATTCCTAAGTACTCAGAGAGAAAGGTGTCTATTCTGTTCCTCCCTTTCTGGGTTTGACACATCAACATCCCGCTTAGAAAGCACCCCTGATTTCCATTCCTGTCTCGTCCACGCCGTTTCACTCAGCTAGCACCTTCCACTGCGCCTCCACCGAGGACAGGTCGGCACCACCGGGCTGCAGCCGCTCCGTAGTTTTGGCAGCGGCCGGCAAACTTCAACAATCGCTCAATTAGCGACTTCAACCTGCCTGCGGAAACCCGCCTATTTATAGACTTCACAAAAGCATCATCTCCGATTCACCTACCTGCAATCTAGCGGAAGACAATCCGATCCCCCCTCCCGCGCCGCAGATAAACATTCCTCCTCCCCCACCCCAGTTTTCCATGCTCTAACAGCCCCCTGAGATCGCCAGCGCCCGCCGAGGCAACTGTCACCATGCATGGGAGGCACCTATGCAAAGCGAGTGTGTGACCGCAGCCGAAGCATCGCCTCACCATCAGCTGCACTACACAAGCAGAAACGCAACCAAGATAGTTAGTATTTTGCACTTACAGTTATAGCGCTGCGCACGGCCACTTAAATGATCAAACTCAACAGTTCTTTAAAAATATACAGATATATTTAATTCTGGCAAACGGTTAAGCCGTCTTTCTGTATGATTCTCTCTGGTTCGCTCTCTTGGCTCGGAGCTCTGGGAGGCTTAACTCCCTCTTGGATCGCGCCTTGCAAGCCCAGCCGCCGCCGCAACACGCTCCGGTAAATCTGCTGCAGATTGGGAATCCCATAGAAAACCTAGGGTCCCTGGAGCGGGGTGCGCAGGCGCGCGAGCCGCGGCCTCTCCAGGCACCCCCTCCCCTCTCGGCTGCTCTCCTCCCTCCTCCCCGGGCTCAGCAAGCAGGGCTTGGAGAGCTCCGGAGACCAAAAGCCGCCCGGCCAGGGCGCATGCTCAGTTGGAGGGCTCGGAGTTGGCCGCGGGTGGATTTCGTGGCTCCAGATTTTAGCAGAAACTCAGTGGATAGGAAAAGAGAGCCTGGCTACCCGGGCCGCCTGCACCTGGACTGGGGCGTTCCGCGGCTACACAGCCTGGTGGCTGAGGGCCCAGGCCAGAGAGAGTGGACACGTGGAGCCTGGGCTTGTCGGCGCCCACAGTCCGGGTCTGTCGTTAGTGTCCCCTTGGTGAGGTTGGAAGGCGAAGGAGAAGCTGCAGGTGCATCACAAGGGAGCCCCGCGCGTTCCCGGAGCTAGCCGGAGTGTTCTCCCAGGGTCTTGGGCCACAGTGCTGGGAGTCCGGGCCTCGGCACCCAGAGCCCCGGGCGGTCCTCATCAGGAGTGGCGTTGGGAAAACGTGTCAGTGAACAGTTCGTTAGCGCCTTCTGTGTGCACCTAACGTGTATTTATTGAGTACCCCTCGTGTAGGTTGGGAGGCAGGGAGAGGAGCGACAAGGAGCCATCATGAGCATCCAGGTGACATGCGATTGGGCCATTTTACGGAGACGCCGCGGGGGGGGGGGGCTCCTTGAGAGACTGACTCGTGGGCCAGCTCGCTCTTTGCTGGCCTACTAAAGCCTGCCCAATGCATGTCAGCTCACTTCCCTCCTAGGAAGCCAAGGAGACTCCCTGATGTGCCTAGGCAGATGTGCTTCCGAGGGGCGGTGCTGGTGAATGAGTGTGTACCTTTACTCAGCAGTCACGCACTGTTCTACGCAGCGGAGTCAAACTCAACTAAAACCTCTCCTGCTTTTTGATGTCCTCCCTCCCCCCCCTCCATACCCTGGGGGTAGGAGTTTACTTTTCAGTGGAGTAAAGTTTCCAGGGGGCGCTTAGAAGGTCCACGTTGTCTTGCAGCAGATAGTACTACAGTTTGCACGGCGTTTCCGTGCGCCCTGTCGTGTCCAGCAATCTGCAGAGCTGAGCTTTCCCCGAGGTGCTCGCGTGGGAAGTGGGACCTACGTGGACAAATCTTGCAGCCTGCTGACTGTGGTTTCTGCTGGCGAGCTGGGGGCGGGGGCGTCCAGTTTCTGAAAAACGTGGAGCTACAGAAGCGAGAATCTGGAGAAATTCTGCAAGACTACAGCAAACCAAGATTTACGCGAGATTCACCGCAGGTGGTGGCCTGCGGTGGCGACGCCCGAGCCGCGTGCAGTGGCCAAGCTGGCCCTCCCGGAGCTCAGGGCCCTGCAGCTCCGGGTCTGATGCAAGATTGCGCCCCAGGAAGAGCGCGCTCTCGGGATCCCCGGGATGCGGGCGGCCACCGAGTCTTCTTCAAGGCGGGGCTCTTGGGCCCGGTGCGGTGAGCGCGGAAACGCGGAGCGCGGAGCCGGGCGCGCGCCCCGGCTCGTTGCGGCAGCCGAGCACGCCGAGTGCCTGCCGGGCGCCCGCCCTGCGCTTCGGGCCGCAGTGCGCACTGCGCTGCAAAGCTGCCCCGCTGCGTCTGGCGGCTTCTTCCAGTTCCCCAAATCGGAGTGAGGGCGAAATTTCAGTCCTGGCTCAGTCTCATCTGGTGGCCAGGGCGGCAACCTCCGAGGCTTTCAGAACAGTTGCCTATCTTTTGCCAAATTTTTCCTATTGTTGGGTTTTAGGCTCGCTTTCACTTCCCTGTGGAGACTAGCCCCCTCATTGCCACTGGCAGTCAGCGAAGGGCTCCTGATACTGTTTCTCCGCCACAGCGGGACGCACCTGTCTCTCTGGGCAACATTCGATATTGGAGAACTTATTTTTCCAACTGTGTTTAGGAAACAAATCACCCTGATCCTTTGCCGCGTACTGTGTTCCAGGGTAAATTCGATTTAGATGTGTGAGCTTTTGGAAAGCAGCTGTGTGCAAATGGACAAGCCGATATACATACTTTTAATTACATTTACAGTACATTGTGGTTTGGCAACCTTAATGCAATCTTCATTTTCAATTCCTGCTTGCTATCTAGGTTTGCCTTTTAAAGTGTGTAATACTCTGTTGTTAATTTTTTAAAATGCCCTTTAGTGAATTTTCCATGCAGTGTGAATTCACAGTGGGGAAGCCAATCGCGAGAGAAGCCGGAAGAGCCGCAGGATGAGCTTGAAGCGAACGTGGGGAGCAAGCCCACCGCTTCCCTTCTCTCTCGTCGGGTGTTGCTCGTGATCCCCAAAGAGCAGAGGTGCTCTCACTGCTGGCGCACCTGTGTCCAGCAATAGCCACTGCCTCTGGCCGTTATCCATCACACAGTCACATGTCCAACTCTGCAGAACCCAGTGTCGGCTTTCACATACCGGACAGTTTTGGGTGGGAGAAGGAAAAAAGAGAGGAGACAGAGGAAGGCTCTGGAGGGAGAGGATTGTTTGTTTTCTGGGGTACCTGTCAATATTCCTGGATGCCAGACAACCGAGGAGCCATTTTCCTTTCATTTTCTCAATTGAAAATTACATGCTTTAAAATCTTCAGAATATTGGCCACACACATGTTACACAGAGATGTTATGTTAGTTATTTATAAAATGAGGCATTTAAATTAAACTAATCAACACGTTCAGCACCTCAGACACTTGTCATTTATTCCCCCTGTCCAACGCACCTGTCATCACCTCAGGTAGTTGACATTTATTCCTCTTGTCTCACATATTACACTTTTTAAACAACGGCAAATTCCTCACTCCTTTCTAAATTGAAGCATCTAAACAAAGTAACACCAAGAATAACTATTTGGAAACGCATAACTTCCTCTACTATCTTTACTTGCTTTAATTCTGAAAAGCATGAAAACTGGGACTGATGGCACAATCATGAAATGCCAGTAGTAGAGCAGGCACCGCTTGGGGCCCCATGAGCGCAGATCACATTATGGAAAGTGTATGCCAAGAAGCGTGAAGACACGAGAGCCTTTACGATACTGGAAGAAAAAAGCTTGAAAGTCATTAGAAAGTCAACAGACAATGCTAAAATGGGTTTATACGAATACTAGCAATTTTCTTGGATGAGCAAAATTCCTTTATTTCAAAAGCTAAGGACACGCATCCTTGCAGAGATGCATTACATGTAATAAGCATGTTCATCTTGATGTTTATTCTATCTTAAATAACATCTGGATAGATGAACAGAACAACTTTCTTAAAGTGAACTGGGCAGTTATCACCTAGAACCAGATGCGACAGTAATTTTTTCTGACACATAAGAGATTTCACTGCACATGTTTGGATTCCTACATATTTTTCTGATCTGAAAAATGCAAAATCAGGATGTCGTGATTCCAGGAAATCGGAGAGTTCCAGGCCTCTCTGTGGAGGAGGGATGCAGAGCTCTGGTTTCCCTGGGCCTGGCTGATTCTTCACCTAGTCCACCCCTGAGCTCTGTGTTCTACAGCTAAGTGTGACTCCAGCGCTTAAGAGAGCGTGAGAAAGAGGGTAAACTTACCTTTTAGCTCTGTTCCTTGTGTTTGAAATAATGTTAGATCAGTCCGACGCAGAAATCCTGCTGATATCAAGGGGGGGAGGAAGTCTGGGGAGAGCCCCACCTTACAAATACAGAATACACATTCATACACAGGCAGTGGAGTGGCTGAACTGATGACAGCAGAAAAGATGACAAATGATGAGTGTGTGGGGAAAAGACTTGAAGACTCATCTAATTTGGAAAGATGGCTTGTATATTTGCTCTTTCTGGATATTTGTTTATAAGCTCTTAGAAATGAATAGTGGTTTTGCCCATTTTAGTTTGCTCAAGAACAGCAAGGCTAATGGGACGATGCAACCCACCTAAAAGTGGAAAGTGGCTCACAGTTAATAATCAAAGTATTTCAAGAATATACATGGTGGTTGGATTGTTTTTACAAAATCTCCTGTTTAATGAATGATTGCTGGTGTGTTCACACACGTGTGAGTGTGTGGTGTGCATCTGTAGCTATCACACTATTTGTCTTTACATTTGGGGACGGGCTAGATGTTTCTGGAGGGATGTGTCTAGCCCTTAAACCAGCTGCTCTCTTGTTCCTCATTCAGTCAGAACAAGTCAAGTCCCTGCTGCTTTCCTGGCTGGCACCAGCACTGAACCGGATGAGCTGGAATGCTTTTTCTTTGAATTGTCATTGGATTAGAGAGAGTTGTGTCAATTTTTCTATGAACCAGAAGCTTTAACATGCACTCTTATATATATATATATATAATGTTTAGCTTGGACTGTCTTCTCTGGAGATTTGGAATTCTGCTTTCCTTAACACCATGACTGTCCGCTGATTCTCTGACAGGCAGTGTGGAGTGCAACGTATTGTGCATCTTTTGTTTTTCATCTTTAGAATGTGTGCCTTCCTCTCAGCTTGCTATTTCCTTGCTTCAGTTACATAAAAGGTGTTTCATTTTTTTAAATTTATTTTTAAGTGAAGATGCAAAATAACTACTTCCTAAAACTCCCTATTGCTTCTTATATATTGGATATATAATATGTTTTACTGTGAGTTTCCAGAGCACTGGTGACTTCTGATCTATGCGTTTTCAATGAGTAAGTACCATGATGTATTGATGTTTATTTCTAATTAGGGGAAGAACTACTTGGCCTGGAGTCATCAGCAAAGTTAAGTTTTCACTTTTTCAGGCCCTTTCCATGTCCACTTGACTGCTGGTACCTTCTCTGAGACCTAGCTTTGAAGAGCAGGTTGAGAGGAGGTCACCGGACACAGTGGTGAAGTTACTGCTTGGGTAGTCACAGCCAGTTGTGTAACACCTGACTGAATGCCCGCCCCTCTGCCTCTGCTCCAGCTTCCTGCGAGTGTGCATCCTGCGAAGCAGCAGATGATGGGGTTGGATCTATTTTCTTTTTTTTATTTCACATTCTTTGGCCAAATTCATGAGCTATA